CGACAAAGTTCTTATTGCCAACAACCCGCACGAAATAAACAAGATTCTGCAGGAGTTCAGCGCACGAAAGGAATTTGTTCTGAAAATTAATACACCGAAACGAAGGTGATGCAAAGTCTCAGAATGCCCGCTGCAAGATTACAGATAGACGCTGTAGACTTGGAAGAAGTTGAAAGTTAAGACCATCTTGGATAGGAAGTAAACATGCGGCACAATTTTTAGCTGGAGATTGCACATCAAAGAGCTTCTGCTTGGCACAAATACTACAGCATCGCCGATATCCTCAAACTGTTGAATCACAAAGGACGAATCCATCTGTCCACTACCCCTGTACTGAAGGCAGTGACATACGGATGCAAAACATGGTCACTCACTAAATGAAGAGCTAACGCTGGAAGTGACGGAGAGAGCAGTGAAGCGAAGGATGTATTTTTTTGCGATCATATGAACAGTCAGATTCTTCGTCAGATGAGAAGCATTCAGGATATCACTGCGGCCACGCAAGGAAATAAATACCGGTGGCGATAACATGTTGCTTGCCTTGCTGACAACCAGTGGACAATGCCCATTAGTGAGTGAGGCGCTCGAGAAAGTAAACGACCACTTGGAAAACCTCGAAGAAACGACGCACATACATAGAACAAGCGATGGGTACGAACTGGGTGCACAGCCCAAGATCGAAACTGCGCCTGGCGTGTGAGAGAGTTTTTGTAACATGGGTACCCGCATTGACAAGAAAATGACCCCACGGCCGTTTGGGCCATCTGGGCGGATGGAGTTGGGAAATGTAGGGGCTGAATCGGTATTGGACGGCTCTAACTAGGACGTGCATAAGACGACGTGGATCCTAAACCCGGTGAATTTTGTCAAATTGGAAGGGATAGGGAAATATGTTAGGGTAAAGAAGATAGTCGTGTTGAACATGTACCAAAAAACAGTGTGTCATGTGAAGAGTAAGTGGTGTATGTGGAAAACAGCTTGCCTGTGTTTCAACCCTAAGTTGTAAACACAGACAGTACGAGACGTGATTAGGGCGGGAATCATCAGTACAGCTCCCTAACCACCATGTTTAAATGAACATAGCATGGGCGCGTGATGAGTTAGGATAAAAAAAAACATGCAAAAAAAAGGAAAAAAGGAATAGAAAAATCTGGACTAACATGGATCAGGAAATTGTCTGCCATGGATCAAGGAACCCGAGCAGTCTTGATATTCCTGGTATTATTACTTCGTTGGAATAACCCAAACAAAAAGCATTTTTCAGAATCGCATGATGACACTGGAAGAGCTGCATCGATTGCGTGAGTTACGAGAAGCATACGAGCGTGAGGAAGGTGAGAGGCCAATTCGTACCGAAATTGATGAGATGGATCGAATGAACGTTGAGATGCCGGTAACGAAAAAGCACGATATTGCTGATAGAACTACACATCTGAATAAAAATGAAGATCGCAATAGTAGACATGTGCATAGCAGACATATCGTGGTAAGTTCAGACAATGAATTTTTGAGTAGAATTTTAATAGAAAAGCACTGCAGCGAGATTTTCTAGTGCCGTTGTGAGAGAATAAAAAAAAATCAAGCTAGTTTGAGACTAGATTGATAAAATCTAACTGATTGTCTTTGTCTAATTTTTGAAGAATTTTTATCTAATTTAAGGTTAAGTGAAAATTTCGGCGAAAAATGTTGAAATGGATGATAGAAAAGGTAGTTGTGCATGTATCCCAAAGAAATCTTTCAAAAATAGGGTTTAAAGAAAGTAACATATAGAGATGTTGGGTTCCCTGGGCCCGGGCTCCTCAGTCGACTGGCCGGGTACTGTGGTCCGTCAAGTCGACTCGTCGACAATTACTGGGGGTGGGCATGAGGCCCTCGTTCTTCGTACGTCCTAGTCGGTGCACTTCACGGGATCATACGGGTCGGTCGACAACACTGGACGGGAGAAACACTACTCCTTCAGACCGACACTGCGCTGGATACAATAATACCGGATTAAATACTCCTTACATTACGGGTATGGCAACCTTATATAGGCCGCTTTCGCGCCAATGCACGACCTACCTAGGAAGGGGGTCATGATACAACAGAGGCATTACTTTTGTATATTGTGATGCTGATATTAGCCATGACAAGCGATCTTCGAGGAATTTTACCTTGCCGAAAGGAAGTGCTTTTCGTGTTTTTGCTCGAAAAACTTAGGAGAAATTTTTTAGCGAAAGTCGCCGGTACGAGTGGAGAGGCATTTCACTGAAGAAAAGAGTCGCCGAGATCGACTACAAAATGATGAGGAAACGAGGCATTCACGAAGAGAAGAAAAAACTAGGGGCAGAGAAAAATCTAAAGAAGAGAAACTGGCAAAGGTAGGGTCTTCAAAAAAACTTAATACACGTATATTTGGCTTGAAACGGCCGCTAGCTAATAATTTGGTCTTTAGCAACGCTAATGCAGCTGTAATGAATCAGATAGGCCTGCATCTTTGTAGTCCTTTTCTTTTTGGCAAATTTCCCGATTATGTTGATCAACGTTGCATCGCTTGATGATCAACCAAGTGGTGACGTTTGTTTTTAAGCTAAAATAAAGTGTTGCCATGTGATAAACACGAAATCAAGCAATAAATTTCTCGCTTTAGCTAGAACTGTAATTTAAATTTTAGATGATTTGTGTTTGTGTAAAAAGTAAGAGTTTGAAAGTAAGGAATAAAAAGGAATGTGAATAAGTTAAATCGGAATAAAAACCTGTATAGGAGTGTTTCGGTCCATCGGAAGAACGGGTTATTTTTCATGGATTTAATGCCTTTTTGGCCATGAAAATCATTGTAGTATCCCAAATTTTGTTATTTGTGATAGGATGCCATCAGACAAATTTACATTTAAGGATAACGATGTTATCGCCACAACGCGCGATGGATTTGCTCTGGAAGAGCCGACGTATGAAGTTATTTTGGATGGTTGCGAGGATATTCGTGATAGCGATGACGAATCGATCAGAACACAGTTGCTGAAAATAAAGGAAAAAACTGAGAAAAAAGAAAAACAAGGTAGCCTGTAATAAATCTTCCTCACAATATTCTATAATTGACAAGCGATGCTTCTAGTTAAAAGAATTGAACTACCCATCGTGACATTCCCTAAAAATTTCAGCTTTCTAGCTTTTCTGATTCCCGAGTTAGCAGCTTACCCGCCAAAAACTTTGGCGGGCTCGTACAGGGAGACCACGTAGATAAGAGCGCTCATTTTAGGGATCGAGACCCGTACATGCATGCAGATTAAGTTCCCAAAGTTTCAGCCCTGTAGATTTTCTAGGTCTCGAGATAAAACACCGATACAAATGTACACACAGACACACACACACACACACACACACACAAACAGTCCCTTGATAATATGCGTTTTTGCATTGCGCAGGTGCAAAAAACGCATAAAATGCATGGTAAAAGATTGTCGTAGTCAGGGCATGCAAGAATTTGAAGTAATAAGTCTGGAAAAAGTACAGTTTCGCTATTTTAAAGCAACATCACTTATACATTTGATGAAGACATCATAGTAAATCGCAGAAAAATCATTCAGCAAGAATTTTTTGACAGAAATTTGAAAAGCAGCAGTCTGAATTTTGCAAGAATTTTTTCTCTGATAGCAGCGTAAATACTCCATGCATTTTAGGCTTTTGTCTTGTGCAAAATTTTTTATTTACAGAGAGCAGAACTGAAGCTGCAAGGGGAAATGATGGTGACTCTGCTACTGTTTCTTCACGGCGACCACGAGAGCTCGAACTGGACGAGGAAAAACGAAAGGAAAGAGCAAAAGAAAACAGAAGAGGACACCATCGAGAGCGCAGAAGTGACGAGCAGGAGGTCCGCGATGACATTCAGAAAAACCACGGCTCAGGAGCAAACGCGGAAAAGCGAAGGCATCGACAGGAAACTGGTGACAGAAGGCACAACGGCGGACAAACTGACAAAAAGCACAGGAAACGAAGCGTAGATAAAAGCAGTAAGCACAGTGGAACTGAGCAGAAACCGGCAGATGATTCGAAAGGGCAAGAAAGTTCAAGCAAAAATGATCTCAGCAAGGAGAAGCATACTGCGGAAATTAACGGGGATCAAAGGGAATTGGCTGAAGACGTGACTTCCAAGGTATCCGCAATCAGCAAGGAAACTGAAGAAGTTGATTCGCATCGCAATGAGGACAGAACAGATGAGAGTACTGCCAAAGAGGCAATAGTGACAAACGCTGGTGCATCGGAAGGTGATGATAGCGAGAAAGTTCCTGAAAATCAGAAAATTGATGACAAATTGTCGGCCAAATTGGAACGAAGTCGTAGTCGCAGCCAAAACAAGGAGGACCGACACAGTCGCAGTGGAAGCAAGGAGGACCGTCGTAGCCCCAGCCGAAGCAAAGAAAAGCATCGTAGTCACAGCCGAAGCAAAGAAAGGCATCGTAGTCGTAGCCGAAGCAAAGAAA